GATTCATATTTTGCGGCTGTCCAAGGTTTATTCCATCCCTATACACTGTAAAGTGTCTTAGCTCTATTTATTGGCCTGTTACTAGCCAGGACCCGGTTGTTCAAACATTGGATAGGTCCATTGGATAAATCACTATCCAGCAGGGCCCAGTTGTTTGAAGGCTGATTAGCGCGCAACCCAGGGTTAAATTTAACCCGGTTTTCTTTTTCTTGTGTTCAAAAGCATTTTCTCGGATAATTTCTGTCCTATTTTTAGAGCTTCCAATCATCAACTTGTAGACAAAAAGAATTAAAACTGAAATGCCTTCTAAGCTTTTGAATCTGAATTCAATCTCAGTCGCACTAACCCTGGGTTATCTTAACCCAACTTTGAACAACTCGGCCCAGATATGTTATAGGGAAACCAGTTGCGTTACCCTCTGGATAGAGATTTATCCAGTGGATAATGTTATTTACCTTTTGAACAACTCAAGGGCCGGGGTTCCAACAGACAAATCACTATTAACAGAGCATCTAATGTAAGATGAGATCTTGCTACTACTTAAGCAAAGACAATGAAATTCAGGGCTGGATCCAGAAAATTCAAGAATGGTTGGAGAGGGTTTGGGACACTTGCCAGCTATATATATGTTGTAGTTAATTTTTTATCTCGGGTAATTTTTATTTTTCCTTTGTTTCAACTTCATTAGCATACATTACCATACTCAAAAACAAGAGAAAAACAAAAATTACCTGAGATAAAAAATTAACTACAACATATCCATACTATTTATTTACTGTATCTTTAGAAATAATACAAAATTTCCAGAAAAGGTGCGGGGGAAGGTGGGGGGTCCCTTGGAACACTCCAAATTCTACCCATGAAATTATCGTCAGGTTGACAGTTACTTTATTACCATCGTCATGTTGTTTACAACCTGTGCTTTTTAACAGGGGTTATGGACCTATCAACCCAATTATTGATAGCAACTATGAATTCCTGGCACAGTTCTTTCAAGAAGTGGTCAGCAGATTTCCAGACAAATATCTACACCTGGGAGGTGACGAAGTTCCCTTTAGCTGCTGGTAAGCTGTCTTAAACACTGTGTTAACAACACAATAATTATTGTGTTCTTAACACAGTGTTTAACTGTACTTGTCTAATAGACTTTGTTTTTCTCAAAAGGTGATTGATTAATAAACCGTCCTCAGTGCAGCATTCTTCATGTATTTTGAGATTTCTTCTAAAAAAATTATTTTTTGAAAAATTGAAAATTGAAATGTCAGCTGAATTTGGCTGTAAGGTTGCTTGCCCTCCTCTTGGCTTATGTAAGAAATTAATCTGATTTGGACAGCAAACAGAAGCCCAAAGTTACAACCAGTTACAAAGATGCTTGAGACACTGAACCTTACTTGAGCTTAAATGACCTGTTGAAGATGTTGGTTTTGTGGTCCCCGCTTCTTGCCTTGTCAAAGTTACTCACAAGAAACTATGAGAAACAACGGTGAATGGAGGAGAGGAAGAGTATGGGTGTTTTTATCTCACGTATGTGCGAATATCTTTAATATGAAGTAAAAAAGACATCTTTTCTTCTGAGTCTCGACGTTTTTCATGGCTGCTTAAAGTTGAAGTTTGCAACATGTTGTTAGTTTGCAGTTACAGATTGGTCTGCAGTGGCGGAGGACTGAAACAAGGAAATGTTTATGAATTTGAAAATTTGGGAATGTTGGTTTTACTTTTGATTGGTTAAGAAAGTGGTGCCAGTTTCGTCAGCCAATTACAAAGTGTTAAATGAAATTATCAGTCCTCAAAGCACATAATTATATGTAGTCATATTCTGTGAGATAAATGAAGAGCTTGCTTGCAGACTAATGTACATTGGAAAGCTTAGGAAAAACACATGTCGGCAATTCAAATGGTTTTGATTTTATTCTGGTCGGTTGAGAAAATGGTGCAAGATTTCTCAGCAAAGCATAGTGGTAGAAAACCAGAGCAAACTATTGCCTGCAGTACACAGGGTTCATTTTGATGATGTTGGCTTTGTTATTAGGCAGAGTAATCCTGATATTACAGAGTGGATGGACAAGATGGGCTTCAAACAAAATTACTCCTTATTGGAACAATACTACGAACAGAAGTAAGTCAAAATATTTTTGTTTTTTAATTTGGTTTTTGTTTGTTCTTACCAGTTCCAGATAATTAATGCAATTAAAAAATTACACACTAAAATTTCCAATAAAATGCCCTTTTGACGGCCTTTATCAGCAAGCAAGTAAGGTCGTGACTAGTTAAAGTCATTTTCAGGGTTTTCAAGGCCGTAGCTAGAATTTTTTGACAGCTGGGGGACAATAAAGCAAAGTCTGGAGCTATGCTCTTTCAGAAAATTTTGTAGTGAATGGCGGTTCTCATACATTCTCTCCAACAGCTTCTGTTTTCGTTTCGCCTTGCCTGCTGAAATGTTATTACAACACGAAATGAAAATTGACCCTCATCTCAGGTTATAATGAATTCAGAGACTTGGAAATACTAATTTTCATAGATATTCCGTCATAAGTAAAGTTAATCAATCATAGTTTAATATAAGGATAGATATTTTTAGTGCTTAAGGTTTGGTAAACTATTGATATATCACTATCTGATCAGATAAGTCTAGGATTATCTCCAAATGGATTAATTTCCTTCTAAAATATCGTTATCAGTCAATATTGCAGTGTAGTTATACACATGGAACTCAGTTAAAAATGAGACCAGGTTCGGTCACTCATGCCAGTTTCGTTTTAACTGGGTAAATGACCTCAGATTCCGGTATGTGATCCATTCCACGATGAATGAGGAACATCCCTAGGCCACTTAAGGGTTCCTCATTCATTGTGCAATTTGTCAGGCCTCAGAACAAAAAAGAGCGTTCACAAGAATCACTTCCCATGGGTGTAGTAAAAGAATGGTAAGGATCTTGTGTGAATGGCTGGAAATGTCTGAGGATTTTAAACAGCTATTAAAAGGGCTGAATTTGCAGTTGGTGGCCGTTCTTTAAAGGGAATATTCTTGTAGTACTTTTTCCACTTTTCAATCTCTACTGAGAAATAAGGGGTTCCGGAATTGTGAGGAACTTCTTGTAATATTTGAGGATTTTACTTTGATCGCGGTTGTCAATGCTCATTGTCGTCGACAGTCTGTCTTGCAAGTATCAAACCTTGATTGCGTTGTGAAAATCTGGTGTCAATTTCGATTCTTAGACCACATGGTCAACAAACGGAAAGAACACTTAAACTTTGTAGTAGTCACTTATAGGCTGGTCAGAGTTGGACCCTAGATTAGCACGATCTCGCTGTACGTTAGCAGTACATGGTTTTCGTTCTTCATGAGTTTACCAGTTGTTCATACGCGTGGGTCTCCAATTATGCTCTTGTTTTACATTTGTAGTCTAGTTTTTGAAAACTAGTGATGAACGGTTAAAGATTGTTCAGCTTTTGCAACTAGTTAAGCAGAACAGGACCCATCTCTGTTCTCATTCTACACCCTTCAACTTGGCGAACAACTTATTACAACATTCAAAATGGAATTATACAGTTTTCAACGTTTGTTGAAGAACAGTTACAACATTTGGTGATCAGCAAATAATTCCTGTATTGAACTGTGTGTCACTCATTTAATTATAAATTATTCTCTCTACTTGATTTAAGGTTGCTGAAGATAGTTGGCGGTCTAGGTAGAGAGTATATCATCTGGCAGGAGGTTGTGGACAATAATGTACAGGTCCTACCCGACACAGTGGTCAATGTATGGAAAGGTGGATGGCAAAATGAGATGGCTAAAGTCACTGGGAAGGGTTTGAAGGCCATTCTGTCATCCTGTTGGTACTTAAACTACATTTCATACGGTCAAGACTGGCATAAGGTACGATGTATGTAAGCACTTTACTTACTATCCCGAGACTGCTGTCTACTAACTGCAGGATTTGTTTGACCAGAAATATCTGGTCAACTTGTTTAACCCTGAAGTTTCGTATTATGTTTCACATGCTTCCAAACTTTTTTTTTACAGTGAAACCCCGGCTTACGGCCACCCCGTAATCACTGCCACTTTTTTTGGCCGCGTGGTAAAAACCGCCATACATTTTCTTGTAAAAAAAACCGTCATTGATACGGCTACCCCGTTAATACTGCCAGATTTTTTTGGCCCATTGTTGACCGTATTAAGGGGGGTCCACTGTATGTAAAATATGTATAAATGTGATACAGTTGGGTTATAACCACGCCTTAATCCTTTAAGTCCCAATAGTGACCAAGATCAATTTTCTCCTAACAATATCCATACACTGTCAAGAGATAAGTTATGAGAATTAATAAAATGATTACCCAAGAGAAAATGCCTTGATCTATTTTCAAATTCTCTCAACTAATTCTTTAAGGAAATGTATGGAGATCAGTTTGGAGAATATGTATGTTGATACTGGGACTTAAAGGGTTAAAGGTAGCAGCCTCCTCCACTTCGGTGAAATCAGTCTATATTTTAGCCCAAGTTAGAAAATGTTCTGTCTTCCTTGTAGTATACCACAATTTTAGTTTTGGTCTCTTACAGCTGCACGTTGATGTCAATTTACCAACTATATTCTTTTCACAATTTCTCTTTATTCTTTCTACAGTACTATCAGTGCGATCCACAAGCTTTTGACGGTATGTTGTTATTTGATGTGTACGCTTATGTTGCAATGCGCAGAAAAGACGGACGTCCACAAGCCAATCACTTTCTCATTGCGTGCAAAATATCATAGGAGAGGGTCTGAACGAGTGCCGCGCTGTGCATCCGAGTAAGTAGTATAAGATGCACCGAATGAACCCCTTTTTGAAGTAGAATCTCATTAATGTGAATTGGAATGCATTGAAGCCCATGACGTTATATGCCGTCATAGCCTCAGGGAAAAAGCTTTGACGACATGGACGTTAATTATTCCTGCCCTTCTGTCCAAAAAGGGGTCTGTCCACCACTTAAAATGTTGATGTTACAGGTTATTATTATTAATTTTTCTTTCCTTTTTTTTTTATCTCAATAGGCACAAATGAACAAAAGAAATTAGTCATGGGTGGAACCGGCTGTATGTGGGGAGAGTTTGTTGACGGAACTAACCTGCTGACAAGGACATGGTAGGCTTATCCCCTTCCCACGCTTTCCACGGCATCTTGTAACTTTCAAGTTTGAGCATTTAATATATTTTCTTGAACACCAAGACTAGCTCTTATGCAGACATTGCTTTCTTGCTTTTCACATTGTGTACCCGCTCATGTGGCGCCTTTTATATTGACCCACCGACGTTTCTGCCACCCTTTGTTATGTCTGTATATAATTATATATATATTTTATGTACTTTAACTGGCACGTTCACACGAATCTGGATATTTTTAAAACCGCATAATTTATATACCGTAAAATTCCGAAAATAAGGCCCTCCATGTATAGGCCCCTCCAAATATAGCCCCTCAAACTCGTAACGCAAAAAACCCTCCGTTAAATCGCCCCTCCAAATATAAGCCCCCCTGATGGCTTGTACTTGGAAATTGCCCTCAAATACAAAGTAAAACAAAGCAAAAACGGTAAATTTACTTCCAACTATAAGGCTAGCCCAATCGATTTTCAAACGCAAATTTCCCTCCGTAGATAAGCCCCTCCGAATATAAGCCTCTCCAAAAATAAGCCCCTCAAAAAGGGCCTTTGAAAAATATAAGCCCCGGGGCTTATTTTCGGAATTTTACGGTATACAAAGTTTTAACACACTGATCCATCTAACGACAACACGAAACCAGTGAGCCCGCTCATCGAAACCGCATCCTTTTGAAACCGCTCTCCAGATTAGTTTTAGACTGTGCCAGACTCTCGGTCAGTGTAGAGGAGCGAAAAAAGCGCGCAGGCAGCGAAAAAGCGAGCAAGCGAAAAACGGCGGGGGGAAAAAGTTCTCTCTCGCCAGTCCTCACGCGGTTTTTCGCACTTTTTTTTCGATCCGCTTTCCCCACTACCTTAGAGTCTTGAACAGGCTGGATTGGTTTAAGGCACCGTTCACACGACTCCGGGTAAAAGCTACGTGACGTCAAAAATATGCGAATTGGTGTGGACGGAGCCTGTTTAATAACACTTTGTTCTGTATTCTTTCATTTCAGGCCTCGTGCCCTGGCAGTAGGAGAGAGATTATGGAGCGCTCAGTCCGTTACGGATCTTACAGATGCAGACAACAGGTTGTGGGAACATCGCTGCCGCTACCTCAGGTAAAGGAAAGCTCCTATTTTTCTTTTGGCAAATTAAGATTTCTCCATTAGTATTGTTCCATCATCCGTTGTCATTATTAAAGTCTCCCGCTGTAGTACGGACAGCTGGAAAAATATTCCCAGGACTGAAGTGCGAGTATCGAAAACTTCGTATATCAGTCACTGCTCGAGGAACAGCAAACTGTTTTGATTTGTTAGGGTGGGTTTCCACTGTCGCGTTATTTTCACATGCGTGTGCATGCAAATTTGTATGAAGTGTCAATGAGTAAACGTATAAGTTGTGTTGGGTTCAACTTTTAACCTACCATGATGGCGTTTATTTTATTCACGTGCGTGCGCACGTAAAAATTACGCGACGTTGGAAATCCACCTTTAGTGGGGAGCAGATCGGCAGAGGAATGCAGCTGATCTGTGCCCCCTTCCTCCCGTCCCCGGGATAGTATTCAGCTCCTAAAAACCTGTAATTTCGATCTGTGCCATGAAAAGGGTCATCAGCAAGATATTAAAGCAAAATTCCTCTGTTGCGCGTGAATAGATCATTGACCATAAACAGTTACCTACAGTGACGTAATGATTTATAGACCAATCAAAACCGTGGAAATAATAATAATAATAATAATAATAATAATAATAATAATAATGATAGAAGGTGGTAACTAACGGAGACCGGCAAGGAAGATGAGACGGGGATGGACTAATGTGAGACCCCTTTTTCTAACCAAGTGTTTTTTCTTACAGGCGTGGGATCCCAGCTGAGAATGGAATCCAGTCAAAGTATTGCCGATATGAGTGGCCTGGCTTCTAAAAGGAATGTTCTCGTTTCTGTACAGCAATACAATTGTCCATGTTTGTTTCTTTTCATAGAATTATTTTTGAATTACACTTCTTTTTGTAGGAGATAAGATTTGATAAAATGTGCCTGAATATTTTTTACCTTTTTTACGCAAATCGGTGAAGGAAGGTGATAAAAATGGCGAAATGATAATTCAAAGAATGGTGAAATTTGCTTTGATTCTTTTCTGTTTTGTAGTGGAATGTAAACCTGTGTGAGCCGGCTACTTAAACGCCTTTTCAAAAGGCAATAAGCATATTGCAGCTTCTGGTCTGGTAAAATAGATTTGACATTGCATTGTGGACGCTGGTTTTGTTCGTCAAGCGTCTGAGATCACATGTCCGTGTGACAGTAAACACTCAAAAATTTATATAACGGAAACAGAATAATACATGAAGTGAAGTAAACCTGTTCTGTCTCTCCATTTGTTTTTCTGTGTTGTCCATTGGTTAAGGGAATGTTTGTGTCCTACGCATTCACTAGTGTTAAAGGCTGAGAAGGAATCTCAGTTTTTCTGTCTACTTACTTACTTACGACCTGCTAAGACCTCGATGTTACAATTGTCAATTTTTCAATCTCAAGTCCCTTGTCTTACAACGGATGACGGCTTGAATCGGGAATTTTCTGTACAGGGCGACGTCGGCAGAAAAAACGTGAAGTGGTTTGGCGATCATTTTAACTTCATGTTCATGGGTATTTCCAAGTTTCCTCAAGCCTCTGTTTCAAAGCGAGGCTAAATGCGAAGCCATTGATATGAAAATAATTTTTTAATTCTCATGCAAATAAACTCATTTTCACGACAAAGGTTTTGCACTTCGCCTCGGTTTGAAAGTGAGAAGCCGATTTCTCCTGGAATTAAATTACCACGACCAAATTAAGTTCAGAAAGAGAAAGAAGAATTGGACGTCTTGTGTACACCTCCATAAAACGTCGCATTATGCGTATGAAAGGTATAGATGAAGTGCATAAGGAAGTTTCAGTTTCTGTACAAAATGTAACTTACTGGAGAAATAATTCAATCTTGTAGCCTGTAAGAACAGTCGTCTCTCCAAGCTCCTTGGCGGTGGGGAAATGCCATCAATGTTGGGAGCGAAAAGAGAACATCTAGAGTAAAAAGGATCATGTGGGCTATCATCATCATTACCATCGTCTTCATTTCATCGCTTACGACTCGAGTTGTATAGCGAATATCATTTGTAGTAGCTGCCAAAATAAGAAGAAAGATTTTTCGTCCAACGGAGTAGAAATGGACTGTGTCGAATATAACTTTAATAAAACTTGCAGTTATGTAATTTTTCATGCTTTTCACTAAAAATTCTATCCTGGGTGGCAGAGGCTTTTCATGCGCGGTTTCCGAATTTGGTCAAGGCTATAGTGACCTCTGGTACCCAGGGTAAGCAATTCCAAGCAAAAGGCATCAATACCTCATGCAACAGTTCCACTTAAGCCTGCGAAGGAACGTGTAACCCAAGAACAACTGTATGGGAGGGTATTTCTTCGCACACTCGGAAAAAGTGTGAGGTATAAATGTGTCACGTGACACATCAGCTGCAAGGCCCAAAAATGGAAAAAAGGGTAGTGCTCATAGAACAAATACATTTAATCTAAAACTCGAGTTTATTTGATTTTTCAGATTAAAAAGGAGACATTAACAGAGAATGTCAACTTCCAAGTCATTGGATTCCTCCTCATTTCTTGAGCTCAGTGAAATTACCTGAAAAAAGAATTTAAAAAATTGAATCAGTTTTGAGAGTGAAGTGAAGTTATTTTTAATGGTTCCAGAAATACAACACTCATGATGGGGTATCTTAAGAGAAATAGCTTTTCTGCTGACCAGATGATTATTTTTCGATGGATGATGTCACTGTCTTACCTCTTCATTCTCAAATAGGCCACTTCTTTGTTCTTTCATCATTTGCCGATGGACCCGCTTAAGTAAGCTTTTATGTTTTGATGATTTTCTTGAAATTCTTTTCATGCTTAGAGTTCCCCTTGGTTTCCTCTGTCAGTAAAACAAACTCACAGTTGGTAACATACCGTAAAATTCCGAAAATAAGTCCCAGGGCCTATATTTTTCAAAGGCCCTGTTTGAGGGACTTATCTATGGAGGGAAATTTGCATTCCAAAATCGATTGGGCTAGCCTTATAGTTGGAAGCAAATGTACCGTTTTTGCTTTGTTTTACTTTGTATTTGAGGGCAATTTCCAAGTACAAGCTCCTGGGTGGGGGGGGTATATTTGGAGGGGCAATTTAAGGGAGGTTTTTTTGCATTACGAGTTTGGGGGGCTCATATTTGGAGGGGCTTATAAATGGAGGGGCTTATTTTCTGAATTTTAAGGTACCTGTAGCAGCACATGAGTGTACATTAGCGTCACTCACTGCTGACAACAGGTTCAGTGGACAAGGGAAATGGGAAGCTATGATAATGGGAAGCTGCAGGAGGTAAGGGAGTGGGTGAAAGGAGTGTCATCAACAACTTGCACCAATAGATTTCCCTAAGAGGTGGCTGCCTCCAAATTTCACTAACTGAAAGAGAGTTTACCAAATCACACTATTCTAAAAAGAAGACATGGGGTAATTTTTAAGGTGGAGTTACACTGTAAGCAAAAAAGCCAGCTTGACTAATAAAAAAGCGTGCTAAGCTTTTCCAAAGTTACAATCCTGCCCTCCAGTAATTCAATAATTAAATATTGTTGATAAGATTATTACTACTATTATCAATATTAATACACTGAAACCTCATAACAAAACCTTGTTATAGCAAACAAATTTTGCCATTCCCTAATTGCCCCTTGGTTAATTTGAGGTTGTTATCTTGCTGTATTCAATTTTCTTGCAAACCCTCCCTGAGAGGTTTGCAATGACATTGTTTTATCACAATCAAAATAAACAAGTTTGTGTACAGTTAACCTCATTTATGACTACAGAAGGAGTACCTATCTGTCTCTTACCTTGGAATGTTTTCTATGAGAAAAACTGGAATTCTGTCTACACGTTTCTGATTGTGAATCTGAAAGAAATGAATAAAAAAACTGCAATCATATAATTTTTAATTAATTTACAAAACCATCGACACCTCAAGCGACACTATGTTCATTTTACAAGTTCTACAATAATTCAGAAAAAAAAGCAAATTTGAAGCCATAATGTGGTCTGTGCAAATTAGATTACCTAAGCAAAGAAGACAAGAATCTCTGCAAAGATGCTCTGAAATATAGTCACGTAATCTACTGAATTTTGCATCATCAAATGCATCTAAGTCTGAAAAATAAAAACACGTATTGACAAGATTAGGAAAAATGTTGATACCTTCAAAAAAATTTCTGTAATTTGCTAGCATTTCTTCAAGCAGTAGGTTTTCGTAACCACACAAAACTTAAACGATGATGCACAAATGAACAAAATACCCCCTTCCTCTGGATGAGCTTCAAGCCTGGTCTGGTTTAGTAGTGTCCGATAGCCCGGGGCTAGTGGATTTTGCTATTGGGCTAATGAATTTTGAACTTAACTTGCCCGACGGGCAAGTGAAGTTTTTGAGGAATTCAAAATTAAAGAAGAACTGTGAAATCAATTCTGCTCATCAAAATGTTTTCAGGGCTAGTTGAAATGACGTTTGGGCTAGTATGTGCTAGCTTCAGCTTGCCCGAATGGCAAGAAAATCACTTTCTTTGCACCCTGTTTAGCCTTATGCACAGCAGGCGTTGCAGTAAAACCCGCATATAAGAACTCAAGTTTTTCCAAGTTATGCTAATAAGGTTCTTAACTCATTGGGTTATTACGTCACCTTCACTAAATAAAGAATATTGTATTGTATTGTACAAAAATGGTGCTAACTGGAAAATTAGGCTGCTCAGGTTCTTAAACAGGTTCCTATTCTTAAAAATAAATAAGGTGTTTGCCATTGTTATGTGTGGGCGATTTTGGCCCGATTTTTGGTATTGCATGCATAATATATTGTAAAAATTCCTTTAACTCAAGCATGTTAGAGCCATTTACGAAGTTTATACAAAGCCATGCAAGTTAAGCAGAACAAAAGAGACATTAAAACATGGTACTCAGTGTTGCAGATGGGACAAACATATGGTACTTGTGTATTCACGCAGTGTTTGACTGAATTTCTCAAAATAAAATCCTGTTTCAAAATTGTAGGCTAAAATAGGTTTTAATGTAAAAGAGGTCTAAATGGACAATCTTAGCCCAACAGGTTCTTATATGTGGGTTTTTACCGTATTTGGGTCACTGAGGCATGTTTTGAAGTGTGAATGTGAAGGGCAAGTTGTGTGAGAAAGGAACCTTAGCCGACCACACTTTGAGTATTACAACTATAAGGTTGTGCTTTAAGAAAAAATGTTGGAATCCAGACAGCTTTAAAAATTAATCCCTGGTGACCAGGATTTAAAGGTAAGCTAGGTTTACCGTTACAAAATGTTTCTGGAAATTCTGTCAGAAACTTTACATTTGTAACTGGAACACTACGTACTTCAAAGGTCATTTCAGTGGAAAATTTCCCAGAGCAACAGATTGTCTGAAAAGGTATAGTCCTGTTTTTCTGATTAGAATGATTTAAATAAATAGAAACCAATGTTCCATTTCTTCAATCTTTCTTTGATACCAGTTTCAGGCTTTCACAGCTATTTTTTATTAAATGGCACTATTATTTGATGCAACTGAGTTTTGTTTACCATTTACCCGTGGTTTGGCCAAGGCAAGAGATAGAAAGCTGCCACAAGAGTGTCCCCCTGAGTTGGTTAAAATCAGCTAACAAAAATTCAACCCCCCCCCCTCCTCCCCGGGTACTCCAAAGAATTCTTGGTGGGGGTGTACCACCCAGTTGTCCAAATGATAACCATAGTTCAGACAAAAATTGTCACTTTCAACACCCATTTTCAGACCTGGAAGAAGTAACAAATGCAGAATACATGTTTACATAGACAGAAATTATGTCATCATTACTTAGATTGGAACAACAAGGAAAAGATTTCTTAAATTCCACAACAAATTCGCAACAAATTCTCTTTCACTTCTTATTCGTTGGGAACTGAATTAGTAGTTCCCTCAAAAACCATACCCAATTACAGACAAAAATGGGAAAAGTCTATACCAGTTTCCAGATAAAAAAAAGCACAAAAACCATACCCTTTCATACAGCACATACCTATACAGCTTATATAATGGAGTAGCCCCCCCCCCCTCCCCTACCCACAACTCCTAGGATTCAACCCCAGTGGTAGGGACTACCACATGATAAGCCTCTCATGTTAGGATAAGCAAGCAAGTATGATGAAGATAATAAAATCATCATTACTTTAAAAAATTAACAATACATGTACCTATTTCAAATTCTGTGTCTGTTGGTAGAACTGTTGCCTCAGGGTTTATAATTCTAATGATGTCCATTTGTTCTCTAAGTCCCATTGTTACTGAAGCAACTCTTGTTAGCAATTCAACTGCCTCAGCTTGGTCATCTGACGTCATTTTATTCCTATAAAGAACGGTTTTAAATTCATTTTCAAAATAATTTATACTGTCACAACAACATACAAGAAATTTACGACTAACATTAATGCCAGAGGGACTGTGTTCAGCGTCTGACTCATGTATACCCTTGGTTTACAAGGAGGCAGAGTGGCTGAGTGTTCAGCACATCCAACTTGCAATCCAGCAGTCCTGGGTTTGAGTCCCATTCTGGCCACTTGTTGGACTTGTTCTCAGTCATAATCTTTGGCCAAGCTTGCAAATAGTAACTTAATTGAAACACAGGTAAATGAAGTTTCAACCAAAGATAAAATATTATTTATTGAACTACAATATACACAACAGTAACTGCATATACCAAAAGAGAAATAAACTACTATAAAAATTCAGTGGTAAAATAAAATAAAACAATTAAATAAATAAAGAAATAATTAATTGAAGTAGATGAGACTATTGTGCATGAAATTAAGGTGACTACCTAATGCTACTTAACATTTTTTAGGGTGGAGTAATTTCTTTCCTCTTTGACCTTGTACTGTTATATAATGTTGGACAAAGCTCATAGCAAGCAAGCTTATGGAAAAAGAAACTTGCTTGGGATTTAACATCCATTCATTTACCTCTAATTAAATTGTGGAACTGTATATTATCACACAGCCACTCTCAAGCCAATCAGAGGACACAAAGGAATCCAGTTTTTTTTTCATGTGACACACACTTACCAACTTACACCAAAGTCCATTGAGTTTTGTAACTTTTGACAGGGACAGGTAAATTCATTTTTTAACTTTGAACTTGAGTTCTTGCTATTCTTGAATTTGTTCCTTCTTAATATATCATCCACTAATGAACTTGAAGACCTTTTACTGCAATTATTTCCTTTCTTCTCCGCACTTTTTCTTGAACATTTTCGCCAGTTGAGGTTGCTGCTATCAATAGCACTTAATTCTATGGATAAAAAAAAAAACACATTGAAACAGGTTAAAAAAATAATGCATGATTCACACCTGGCATATTAATTTTGTTTACCATAATTCAGTTAATGAAAGTGGAAGTAGGAAATTTCATTTTTATTTGAACTCCAGAAGAAAAAGCAGGAGCTATGTGGAGGAGGGGCTAGGGGGTTTTCCCATTTCTCCTTGCTCCTTGCCACAAGGGATGTAGCTCCTGGCGAACATTTTAAGTGGTGAGGAGCGGGGAGAAACAGCTGTTTTCGCAGGCTATGGCATTGCAGTCCTCGCCTAATATTAAAACGATCAAAAGCATAATGGAGCCAGCTCAAAAGTCAGAGTTTTCCCAGCTCAGGTTGAAGCAGACACAAAAAAATCTATCCCTGACAGATAACACAGATACAGCTGTACATGCTTGGATTGTTTCCCTGAGATAATCAGAATATCCTCTGGCCTCGAGAGAATCATATAACACTTTTCTAATCAATCCAATGTTCATTTCAATGCCCTTACTTGTGAGAGACAACTTTATCCCCAAGGGTTCTTAGGAGCTACTTTGATTGGTCTAAGAGTAGCAATCCATTTTTGGGTTGCTAAAACTGGCACCAATCAAGTATGAGAAGTCCTTTTATCCCGCACCATATTAAACCAGATGTTTAGACTGAGGCAGGACAAGCTCAGTCAATAGAGTGCTTAACTGTAGAGTAGGATGTTGCGGGCTCAATAACAATAGTAGATAGAGATAAAATAGGGACAAAAGTAGTTGACACACTTGTCTACAATGCACCAATTCTACAATGCAACAATTTCATTCATTTTTTATTTCAGTCCGTTTAAATGCCCTAAATTCACCTACCCCCGAATCAATATTGTATGTAATGAAAGTAAGACTTGAGGGTCTAAAACACAACATCGATTTTGGGGCCAGGAGGTGCGGTACACAGGGGGAGGGGATAGATAGAACCACTATACAAAAAAGGGCTACTTTATAGCAGTGTGTCAACACTTTTGTCCCTCAATGAAGATCCATTAAAAAGGACATAGAGACCCCTTGCATCAACCCCTCCCTCTCATTTTCTTCCTTACACACTTCAAACCAGGAGCCCCTGCACTTGAAAGACTGCTATATGGGCCTCAAAAATGGATTGAGTTCCATTCATGTGTTCTTTCTGTAGCTGCTTAAGTTGGTTGCTTAGTTCCAATAATATTTTATGTGTTAGATTTTTAGACTGTCAAAATAATAATTTGAGTTTTATTGGAAAAAAGGAATGAAAAGTGTTTAAATTGGAGGGATGGCTTTCCCTACAATCCTACAAAGCTCTCTAGAATTGTAGATTTTCAAAAGTGCTGGCCTTAAGGCAAAAAAGCTCAAACTTAGTAAAAAACATACCGATGTTTGAATGGTCTTTACTGTGACAAGCTTAATTGTTCAATCAAATTGATTTTAGGTATTTGCTATTAGATCAAGATATAAGAATACTCAACCATATGTTTTATACCTCTGCATTTTCTCTCCAGTTCAGCAATGTTTAAATATGAACCCTGGAAAACAAGATAAACAAAGAACTTTATAAGAAACGTACTGTAGAACTGCTACACTGTAACTTGTCATGATAAAAATGGGTAAAGGGATGTGACATGTTACTTTAATCTTAATAATTATTTAAGCTACTACTCAATCAAAGTTGAAAACAAATGTTAGGCAATCATTAATTATTATGAAATAAAGTAAATAATATTATTGTTAATTATGAAGTGAATCATGTAAATCAATGAACTTTGAGTGAGACAAAAAAAGTCATGTTTTCATCCATTTGATGTTTTTTATAAACAACAGTTTACACATACAAGGTCAAAATACTGCTTGGCTTACGGGAAAATGTGAAGTTTCGAAGCCTTCATCTTCAATGTCAATAAATCCATCATCAGAATTATATTCTGAAGCATTAACAGACGATGCAGCAGAAGTTGATTCTCTGTACCAGTAGTTTCCGTCATCCTTACAGTCTACTTCTTGGCCACTACAGAACAACAACAGCAAAAAGTTCAAAGAAAATTCCAAAAATAAAATTAAAAAACATGCTTAACAAAACTAAATCATATAATCATTGGCTTAGGAATGTGCCACAGGGAACAGGGACCAGCAACTTCATAGCCTGTGAGCAAGCTCTCCAGGTCACTCTGATGGCAAGGTGGAAAAAGGAAGTAGAGCTTGCAACTACATCTCTGGAATTTAACTTCCACGTCCAATTCCCCTGTGGCTCCCAGTCGACTCGCTCTCTGATTTTCGCCAATCAGTGCGAAGTGGAAACAAGCACGAAAGTAAACAAACATTGAAAAACACAAGCCAAGGGTAATGACGTCATTACTGATGTCATCTCCACCAATCAGCATTTCGCATCGACTTTTTCGATGAGATATTCAAATTCCACAGACGTGGTTGCAAGCTCTCCTTCCTTTTTCCACCCACCACCAAAAGCACCCCAGAGAGCTTGCTCATAGGTTTACAATTTTATTCAAAACATAGTGGTCTTGCCTCATGGTAAGAAGCAACAAGGGACACTGTGTGCATACAGAGTATCTGCAGCATGCTCATTGAGTCCTGGAAGATACTGATGGAATGCTATATCCAAGCCAGCATTACTCACTTGCTGAAGATCATAGCTGCTGCTGAAAATATGAATTTGCCGTGCCTTTTAAATGTTTTTGCCAAACTCTACTTTGTTCACACAGTGATAAACCTGTCTTTTTAACATTTCTCTGCATATCAGTTCATTCATCAGTCTTGACTCAATAAAAAAAAAAAGGAAAATCATAATCTTCTGGTATATGGACTAGTTTTTAATTTAGGAACTCAAATCGGTGGTTGCCAGCAGCGAACTAAACTATTTTAAGTAATAGAGGCCTTTAAGATTCGAAAACAAGGATGACTATGAAGGCAAGACTTGACTTTTAAAGTTTGGTCATGTTTTCTCCAAAAATATACAGTAAACGAAAGGTTCACTGTACTTTTTTCCACCAGAAAAGCGAGCACAGTTGTTGTAATTGAAGGAGGTGTAGCCCTCTCCCGATTACAAAAATGATAAAGCTTCTAATATTCAATAACTAGGACATTCTTGCAGTAGAATGATGATGCCTTTTACATTTTCCCACTAAAATGAAGCTGATTCGTGCACATGATGATGAGTATTGTCAAAATCTTTTCCTCATAGTTATCCTTGTCTGAGAATCTAAAGATCTCTAAAAATATGTTGTGAATACTAACCACTCAACTTCGGCAGCTACATCAGCCTCAAAAAAAGATGGAGAAAAGTCATCAAAGAAGGAATCTCTGCTAAATGGAGGGGGTGTCCCCCAGAGTCTGTAAACAGAAAAATAGGATCAGACAGAGTGTACCATAATTTTCCACTAGGTGAGAATAAAATTATTTATCAAAATAAATTTTCACCCAACCAGTAGTGGGCTAATTGTGTCTCATTCACCAGGCCGGTACTGGTCTTGTAAATTAATGTTTGAAGGCATATATGTATGTTTAGAGGGTGCAAGGCATTGAATTATTCCACGAAACAAAATTGAGAAGAAAAAAGGCTTAATCACCTTTGAGTTGCCTCAACACTTCCTTGAACTGGAAGAATGAAGTTTATATATTATGCTATGAAAGTATTTACTCCTGATTTCCATTTATCACGATCATTGAGAGATTCTGACAGCGTGAAAAATATTTAAGTGACGTGTGATAAACTGTTTTGTCAGGTTAAGGTAAGTCTTACTGAAAAATTTCTAATGTATAAAAGAAAGGTCTCTCACAGAAATAAAAACGCGATGAGACCAAACGAAAACCAATAAAGGTTTCATCGTCGATAAATGACCCAATGTTACCATTCATTCTCCAGATCATTTTCATGATAATTCTAGAGATGAAGAATATTAAACGGAGTACATCTGGATACTAGTTAAAATCAAGGAACGGAAACTCTATGTAACACGTAAGCTTTATGCTTTACGATGTATGCCATTATAACAGCGTCCATAGCGATTTTTCAACGAAGCTCACCTCATTTCGCCGATGTCGTCAGGAACTGCTAGCATCCTAGACACACGTCCTGAAACATTGTCTTTCACACACGATCTTTATACTCAAAGTTTAACAGCAAAATATCTTCAACAATTCATTTTCTTTCTGCTAAACTTCATAAGAACAATGCATTCCGGTGAAATAGTGCCAAGTTTTCACTCTGCCTTCGTCTCGCACAGCCCCACGTGGCTCTAGCCAATCACAAAGCGCGTTTTTCGCCATGTGGGTACCCTCTTACGCAATTCGGATTTGCCATATTTGGCATGTTCGGGAAGTTCAAGCATTTCCTGGTCTGCGAGCACGTTCTCGAGGGGGCGGGGAAAAGGTTTTCGTCCTTACTCCGGCCCGAGCGGAGGTACGGACGGGAAGTTTGGGTGGTGCGCAGCCAAGGCATACAGCCCGGGGTGGACTCCGCATATGAAAGGGGGGGGATGCTCGTCGTCTCGCTTAGGGGTGTAAATATAGGATTTTGGTCTCACATAGGGTGTTCTGGGCAAACCGCCATCATATTTAGCCGTGAAGGTCTTGTTTAGGGTTGCACGTGAAAAATATAAAAATATTACATTGTCTGTGTTTTAACATGGTCTTTTTGGGGTCAAAAAAGCCTGCGTGACAGGCGTATGAAAGGGAAGGAATTGAGAAATGGGGTTTTGGGCGCGAGGGGAAAGCGAGGGGCGTGCGAGGAAGGCCCCTCGCGTTTCTCTCGCACCTAAAACTCCATTTCCCTTCGCTTTCAAACGCCTGCCACGCAGGCTAGGTCAAAAAAAGCTTGGGCCACGCCCAGATCGGTCTCTTTTAGGGGTTTACTTTCAAAATTTCCGACGAGCATCCTTCCACCCCTTTCATTTGTGGAGTCCACCCCGGGGCAAACAGCTGTGTCTTTGCTGTCTTGTCCTTAAATTCAAACAGTGCAAAAAAGCAACAAAGCAAGACAGTACAGATATGAGGTTAATCAGGAGACGTGATGGGCTCCTGGGTGAATAAAAAAAATCACAGGTGAACTTTCATAAAGTGATCAAAAGTGACCGTTATACAGAGGCAACGCGCCCGTCAAAATTGCACCGACAAGTTACAGAGGCTTATGATTAAGAAACTGAAACTATTTATACAAAAACTGACAAGGAGGCTGGAAATTAGAAAAAAGAATTTTCTTAGATAAGGCAGTTCATTAGCTTTTTTTTTAAATACTACTTACAGATGATTTTTTTTTCTCGTGTAGCTAGGTATATTTTTACTTGAATTTTAGTTGATACAAGTAGGGCAGGCTATCTAAGGATCACATACACATAGCTTGCGTGGCAGGCGTCTGAAAGGAAAGAGGAAGCTAGGGAATTTCAGTTTACGTTTATCTCGGACTCCGCCGCCACCACATGCAAGCCTACAGAAACAAGGCTGATAGAAAAAATCTCGCCGATTTAGTGACCTGTATGGCTAATTCATGGAAGAGTGACCGCAAAGGTCCTAGTTTTCCAATCCTTAGAATAAGGTATAAGTAATTTTAAAGGACTGAGTGGAGTACAAGTCAGGGACGGAGTAATGGGGCAAGTTACGAACCCGAAGTCCTATTATCAATTAATTGTGTCAGTAACAAAATGCGAGAATCTCAGTCTTGGAATATTTGTTAATGTAACCTGAGATCAGGCTCTGTTTCCGTTTTGCTTTGAAAATAACATTCCGGCCGGCAAGGCGAAACGAAAAGAATTTTAGTGCGACGACGTAAGAGGGAATGTATGAGAACTGCTAAAATCGGGCCTGGTCTCAGGTTATTATTAATGTAAATAAATGTCACTGGACCAGTTAGTTTCATCCATTTCTCTTTTCCAGTTGAAGCTGGACAGCTTACCTGGTCACTTTTTTCATTGATTTTGATTGGTTATCATTTGCTATGTGGTTAAATTTCTTTGGCTGGTGGCATTCACTACTTGATTTTTATTGGTTCTCTAACTGTCCGATTACAAGCTCCTCAACCTCGTCCACAGAGCTTTTTCTGGCTTTGGAGGTGGGCCCCAACCTCCAAAGCCAGGTAAAAGCGCCCTGGGGACGAGGTTGCAAGCCCCTGGTAATCGGACAAGTCAAATAGCAAAATTAAGCTATAACATGGGCTGAAGAACCAATCAGATTCAATCATAATTATAGTTCGAACAGCACGAAAGCCAGAAACGAAAGTATTATTGGCCTATGGCCTAGGGTTTCAGGAACTTTTTGAATGCAATTTTGGGGTCCAAATTTTAGCAGTGAGACACAACCTGTTTGTTTGCAAAGTATATCAACGGCAAACTAATAACAGTACAATAACGATAATCATAATCACTCCTATCCTAGATCAGAACAGGCCCCTGATCGCATGTCCTTTCATGGAATAGCGGCTCATGCCTGAGGACTTGTCTATATAGGCCCTTATGGGTCCTGTTCCGTTAGTTAGCTCCAGTCCC